AGAATAAATTATCATCGTCCAGTCCCATCCGGAAGCACGCATTAAGCATATGATCACTCCAGCTCACCAGATGGAAGACACTCAGGAACTCCTCCACATATCGCTCCAAAGGCCTTCCATCCTGCTGGATGTTAAGAAGAACGTCCTCAGCCCAGTCCATCCTTTTCGTTGGTCCTGTCTTCTGTCACGGGTTGCTGGGGAAAGGAGCTCGAAGGAGGCAGATAGTCAAACTAACAGAGTCTTTAATAAATCCATGTGAGAGAAATGGAGAAAACAATCACTTTCAAAGACGGAGACAGGAACAAGAAACTGAGGAAAGGCAGGGCTATAAATACTAAACCAAACGATGGACTAATAAGATGATTAATGAACAAAGGTGGAAACTAATGAACTAATCAAGGGGACTAAGGGAAACTAGGTCAAAGAATGTAGAACAGAAATACAGGAAAATCTAAACCATAACAGAACATAAACGTGACAAGTATACAGTTGACCTGAAAAACTAAAAGCCACAAAATTCTCATTTAGATTTAATGGGGTCTTTAAAGGGGTCTGAACTGAGAAATGAAAATGCCCTTAATCTTTTGACATCGCACCTTTCAAGGCCCTTACAGTGCTGAGATGATCACTGATCTTATGGAGGTCGCTGGAAAAAACATCTCAAACAACAGAGAGAAACTGAAGGAGCAGATTGCTGCAGTCGTTGGGAAAAAAGCACACAACTAATGAGAATCTGAAGAGCGCACAATGTTCTGAAATGAAGAGGCAAAGTCATTACCGTTTGTTTGAATGTTTTTCTTTTTTACGTAAAATGATGTTCCAGTTACACTTAATGTTGACACTTTTTTTCAGATTAAATAATTAAACATTACTTACATCTAGGAAACAACAACTATGTAACTAATGTTTAATTATTTAATCAGAAAAAAAGTGTCAACATTAAGTGTAACTGGAACATCATTTTACGTAAAAAAGAAAAACATTCAAACAAACGGTAATGACTTTGCCTCTTCATTTCAGAACATTGTGCGCTCTTCAGATTCTCATTAGCTGTGTGCTTTTTTCCCAACGACTGCAGCAATCTGCTCCTTCAGTTTCTCTCTGTTGTTTGAGATGTTTTTTCCAGCGACCTCCATAAGATCAGTGATCATCTCAGCACTGTAAGGGCCTTGAAAGGTGCGATATTTGTTCCTCCAGGCCTCAACTTCATCTGAAGAAATAACAAAACACTTAAATATATATATTTTTTTGTTGTTTGTTTTTTTGTAGTTTTATTCAACTAGACAATCTTAACTTGCCTCCACAGTTGACCACATTAAACAGAGGGATGTGAATCACGGTTGGAGCGTTTTGGCCTTTGAACACATAGAAGTCCTTTGGTTTCTCCAGGTCTTCACTGGGAATGTTGACTTCAGGGAAAGAGATGTTTAGTTTCTTGAACATATCAGCACCTTCTCTCACTGTCTGCAATGGAAAAGCAACAGAATGAATTTATTGAAAGGATTAGACAGAGATTTCAGTTGAAATTTTACTTGTTATTGACTGAAATCATAAGGCTGAGATGAATGGGAATGCTGGCGGATGCTCTCTCCAGGTGTTATAAATAAATACCAGTTAAAATGAAAACGTATGCACTTTTGTTTAAAGGGTTCATGAACTGAGAAACCAAAATTCTCTTGATCATTTGACACATAAGAGATCATTGTACTATAAAAACATCCTGTAAGTTTCAGAACTCAAAACTTTCTCGTTACTCTAAAAAAAGGTTATATTGAAGCCAGTTTGCCAACACAACAGGTTGTGGAAATGTACCATTTTATGATGTAATAGTGTGGCTAAACACCGCCTCCGCAGAAGAAGATCAACGCCTGCTTCTACATCACTGCCTGTTTAGCCCCGCCCACTGATTCACGCACATAGTGGGTAAATAATGAGAAGGGCAAATGCAGGTTTACGCAGAAATCAAACTATAAAAATAGCTCTGAAGACAATAAGACACTGTGCAGAGCCAAGCTTTAGAAACAGTATTTGCATTGCCTTCCTTCTGATCGCAATATTAGGAAAGAGTGAATTAACTTTATTTTTAATGAAATGCCAGATGCGTCAGTAAGAACTTGGTCCTTTATTCACTTTATTTTACTGTGGATTCGTTTACAAACAAAGCACAATTCAATGCAGGATTTTCAGAAAGTTTGAAACTAAAAGATTATGCTGTGCCGACTATATTGGATCAGACAGTAATGTCACAACACACAAGTGTGAGTAACTGTTTTTATTACGTGGTCACTATTGCTTTATCTGTTATTACAGATCGTTTGATATGTACTGAGTATTTATGCGTTTTTATGTAGGCTGTCAAACATACACAACTGTTAGCCAATCAAAGCAGTGGGCGTTTACTTCCGAGTCTACAATCAGCCACACCTATTCAAACAGAGCGTTCCAATGAGGGGGTTCAAAACAGGACAGAAAATAGTCTAATACTTATAAATTTTGATGTTTGTTGATGTAAACATCTTGATAATATTATAAGGGGACCTCAGAGAACAGTACAAGATAATAAAAAAGGCAGTTTATGGCCCCTTTAACACGTTTTCTCTATAATCCACTGCAACAACTTTTACTCCTCTGAAGTCAAGGGAGTTTTATTTGGCAAACAGCATCCCTGTTGCTTTTCAGCTCATTTAAATGAAGGCTCACAATGTGGCAGGCAGTGGGCAGGAACGTTCTGTACACGTTTTCCATGCACAAACAGAGGAGGAGGGAGGGACTTCAAGAGCAGACAGCTTTTTTTTTAAACAGCTCCAGACTACAGATGGAGGAAAACAGCAGAGTGGAATGGAAAGAGGGCTGGCAAACGTGACCTAATAGACTGCAGACTTCACATGTGACCCAAACATTGGATCTCTCTGCTCAGTATACACTGTTGCTCTCCACACAGCACGGGTGGTCCCGTATCATCATAATGACCTAACGTGAGGCATTAAAGCTATCTTCCCTGCTGGAAAGACTGGGTTAAACCAGCATTAATTTCCATGCTTTTTTTCATGCTAGAGATGCTGCTCAGATATCATGATCTTTCTGGTGAAGTTGGTAGAGGTGGTTAAAGGTTTGTTCCCCAAAAATTTCATTTACTTAACCTCATGTTGCTCCAAGACTTTCCATCATCCTCAAAAATAAATGCAAATATTTATAAAGAAACTTGTCCATCTATTCAAAGTCAAAAAAGGTCATAAAGAGATCTTAAAGTAACCCATATGAATTGAGCAGTTTGAGCATGTTAAGCATGAATCAGTGCGGTTCTTGCACATCAAGCAAGTATGGTTGAGCTTTCATTTACCATACTGGATGTGCTCTATATGTGCAGTAATGGACGCTTATACAGTATGTGAATCAAAGCCTAAACTAAATCTGTTCATCATATACAGCGATCATGTTTCTTAAGTAGAATTAAATTAAACCACTCAATTAGTGTGGATGTCTTTTATGATCTCATGAACTTTTTAAAACATCAGTGTTTTGATGAAAGCCTTTCAATAGAGGGACAGAAATCTCTAAGGTTTCATTAAAAATATCTTAATTTGTGTTCCAAAAATGAGCGAATGGTTTATGAACGAATGAGTAAAGGATGACAGAATATTGTGTTAAAACCATTTTTTGATGAACTAACCCAGTCACACTTTATTTTAAGGTCCAATTCTCACCATTAACAAACCATTAAAAATGATATTTGCCTCAATAAACTCCTAATTTGCTGCTTATCAACAGTTAGTAGGGTAGTTGTTAAGTTTAGGTATTGGGTAGGATTAGGGATGTGGAATATGGTCATGTAGAATATGTGCTTTATAAATACTTATAACAGCTAATATGTTAATAATAGGCATGCTAATAAGCAACTAGTTAATAGTGAGAATTGGTCCCTAAACTAAAGTGTTACCACTAACCCTTTATATCAGTCCATCTCAAACCATCTCAGGACGTAACAAACAAATGTCTCAATGGCCAGCTATTGGACTAAACTTAAAGAAATGCAAGGGAGTAGCTTTGCTTGATTTCAAAACATTTCAAATATGCAGGGGAGCAGAACCAAAACAACTCTGTAAGTCAACAACAAAATTGCTAATAAGATGAATTAAGTTCATTATGCTGCAAGGATGAAGGTTTAAGCCTCTTTTTAACACCTGCCTGAAAGTTAATAAGACATTAATACAACCTGCTTCAGTGAGGGATGGACAAACAAGTCTGAACCTGTGCTCCTACACATAAGGTTATGCATTGCTTTTGATGGAGTACATAGTTAAGACGCGGTTGCTTATATTATCAGGAGAAAGGTTTGTCTCCCCCCTTCTGTCTCTATGGCAACTGGCCCATAAAAACCTGTGATGCCCCCGTTGGCCGACCTCCCCACATCACTAGCAGTCTGGGCACTCGGCCAAACGTCCAAACATTTCAACCTGCAAAGACGCTGTCGCCAAGGGCTCCCGCCAATTCATGAATAAAGGTAAAGGATGTTGGTTTCACAGGACTCGGAGGAGCATGTTGCTCTGCATGAGGGGCTTTATGGTGTCTGCTGTTTATCGTTCATCTAAACACTCTGGAGGAGGATCCAGGGTAGAACGGGAGTAAAGTATAACTCAAGCACGGATGACACAGGTATTCTCAAGAAATATCTAACAGTTAAACTCTAACCCAAACACCGATATATATACACATGCACACAACTGCACACTAAGATACACTCACAAACACAAATAAAGACATATTATTCGCATAAAGACCTGGGAACCAAATATTTGGACACACTGGATTGAATTTGTGTTTTCCCATTATGTTAAAATATGTTGATGCTAAAAAAGACAAAAAATAGACATTAAAAATACAATATTTATATATAAATATATATATAATTAATTTATTTATTTATTTATTAAATTATCATATTTTAGTGACTTTTTTAGCCTATATATATATATATATATATATATATATACATATATAATGGGGAAAAAAATAAAAATAGTGCTAACAAACAATGACTAGGTGTGTCTCTAAACATTTGACTAGTCTTATAAATCACCAGCTCTACAACAGGTCATAACAGTGTTTCTGCAGGAAACCACTGTGCATTAATAAGAGCCTGAAGCCTATGAGGGTGCTGTTCCTCTTCTGCTGTCAAATGTTCAACATGAAGACCCTGGAGAAAACTTCCTGTGCTGATGTGGAGCAGATTTTGAACACAGTAAGTAAGGTTTATGCAAGCTGTACCTGGAAGTTGCCGACCATGATGAGTCCTGCAGCACAGATCCAGCCGGTGGAGAGACTTGCTGTGTTTAACACACAGTTCTGGTGCTTCTCTATCACATGGGCATAGCGTAGCAACACTATCACCATCACTGAGAGTGGGAAGAGGATAAAAAATATTTTATAAAGAAACACAATAATTAAACTGTTGCTTTACCAACAATTGATAAGCACAAATTTAAAAGACACTGAATGTGAGTTTTTAAAGTGATAGTTCACCCAAAAATGAAACTTCTGTCATTAATTACTCACTCTCATGTTGTTCCAAACCTGTAAGACCTTTGTTCATCTTCGGAGCACAAATTAAGATATTTTTGATGTTCTTACGGGTTTGGAACGGCATGAGGGTGAGTAATTAATGACAGAATTGTCATTTTTGGGTGAACTAAACATTTAAATAAAAATCATTGCAAAATTCCCGAAGAAAAGCCTAGCAGCCTTAAACAATGTGGCATTGAAATATAAAACAGTTTGTGCCAATCATCTGGACAGTCTCCAACAGTCACTAAGGCGTGCCTTGTCAAATGTTTATAACAACATTTTGCAGTTTTGCAACATTTAAGATTTCTAAAGTATGTGAGTTCATATTTGCATCCATATTTGGCAGACACTGTTAACCAAAGTTCATTCAAGGTATATACAATGTTATCTGTATAAACAGGGTCCAAAAGTAACACTCAATAAGTGCCAAATGAAAGTAAAAATTGGCTTTGGTGAGTAGAAGCATGAGAGTAAGTGATGTATGCTATCCAAAACAATCGGAAAAATCTGGAAAAGGAAAAATCTGTTGTGACATGCCCTCATCTTCTAATGATTTCAACTTCTCATTGGGAAATCTTCCACTGACGTACATCAAAGACGATTTATATGAGGCGTATCTAAAAAAAAAATCTCCAGAAGTAGTGACAGTTATGTCAAATATCCAGTTGCCAAAATGAATACAATAAAACAGCGAAGCATCTTAATGTATTTGTGATAGGCACAGTTTCACAGAGTTTTTTTTTTTTAATGAACAGAAATAGCTAAATAGTCCAGTTATCATAATATAGCCTATTTCAACCTATCCATTATCCAAACCACTTGTCCTCTGTACGGTCACAGAGATGCTAGAGCCTATATAGCCTATTTACTTTATAATAATACAACTTTTCATATATGTTTGAAATTTTGAAAGCAGTCTATTATGCTCACAAAGGATGCATTTATTTGATCAAAAATACAGTAAAAATTGTAAAATATTATAACTATTTCAAGAAACTGTTATACATTGTAATATGTTTTTTAATTAAAATGTCATTTATTCCTGTGATGCAAAGCTGAATTTTCAGCATCATTACTCCAGTATTCAGTCACTTGATCCTTCAGAAATGCTAAAATGCTGATTTGCTGCTCAAGAAACATCTTTTGTAACATTATAAAAGTCTTTATTATCACTTTTGATCAATTTAATGCATCTTACCTCTATAAAAGTATAAAAACAAATCTTACTTGCTTCCAACTTTTAAACAGTAGCGCACCACAAATTTTCAAGAAACAGATTAAAGCTATCATTTAAAGTACAGGAACAAGTTAATCCGCTCTCCTTAGGTTGTTTTATCAGATGTTTGTAGAAATAAGTCATGAAGGCAAGCATTATGCTATCTTACTAGGTTAGCGTGACCCAAAAAATGAGACAGAAGAACGATAGTCTCTTTACTTGTTTCCAAACCAGCTGTCCCTTAGACTCACTGAGTCAGACTCACTCTGACAAAACACGATTTCCAGTATTCTTCGGACAAGAAAGATGGGGTTATGTGGCTATGACTCACCGGTTCTTTCTCAGCCCAATCCTCCCAGAACACTCCTAGTCAACATTAAAGCTGTTATGACACGATTACTTATAGTATTGAGACACTGCATGAAGGACCAGCATGAAATTTACTTGCTGGTTATTGCTGGTCTTGCTTACGGACCACTACAGCCATGTTTCTAACCAGTATGATTCAAGTCACTCAGCATGGTGAAGCTGGTTGATCAAGAAAGTCCTGCTGGTTAAGCTAGATCAAGAGCTCACTGAGGACCAGCATCCAAAACAAAACATGCTGGTGACCATTTACGCTGGTCTTTTTTGGAGAAAGCTAAGATGTAACTACATATAAGATATGTAACTTTTGTGGTAGTAACGTATTTAGAAGGAGAAGTAACGAGCATGGAAAAACAAACAAGTCTGCAGGCGAAGATAATTAACTCTGTTTAATAAAATCCAGCTGAAACGGCACAACAGCAACAGAAATTGTGGTGTGTAATGGTTGTTTACTGCATTGGACTACACTGTCAGCTACAGTCTTCCTTCCAAAGCATCTACTGCTGATGTTTCCCTCATGAATGGGCCCTCAGTGGATATGGGCACAGGAAACAATGGGAATTCAGCATAGACAGCAATCTGTAAATGGCTAAATATATCTGCTTACCGCGGACTGACTTTAAACTTTATCTTGTGCTCTGAACAACCCCAGAATCCCATTCTTCTAAATGGGTGTAACGAAAGGTCAAAAAAGGTCACAGTCTTTCCAACTGCCTGTCTGTGTATATGTTTGTGTGTAGGTGTGTTTGTAAGCATGGTTTCCTGGAAATACATTCCGCAGGACACAAGACTGGGCACTCAGAAACACATGGTACCCATTTGACATGGGCTATTATTATTTCTACCACCACACTTCACAGACAAACAAAGCTATGTTCAACTCTAATCAAACTCGCTTTACATTAATGGCAACGTTTAGCCTGAAAATGTGCCTCTCTTGAGCTATAAAGGTCAAGGCGAGTAATATGCCTTGAGTGTGTCATTGGTTTGGCGTCAATATGACAGCGTGGGAAAACACTAGGATTGCCAGACAGGGTGCTTGCAAACTACGGTTGTGCATTATTCAGAACTGAACTGAACTGAATTTCAATTGAGGGATGCAGAATTGCAATTCAAATTTGAAAGAAAAGGAAGTAGATTTGAAATTAATTAAATATTTTATAAAGCTTTGTAAAGTCGAACTTTGAATGTTGGCCTGAAAAAACCTTTTTGCAAAAAGAAGAAATTTGAAGATTTGCAGACAGGCAGATAGACTAAACTCTGAATTAATTTCTTTGCATTTCAATTCAGTACATTTTCCTCTTCCTGTTATTCCAATCAGTGTTATTTTAGTATTATTTAGTATATACTATAATAGTATTTCTTAATATTTAAAATGTTATTTTTATATTTTCAGGTTTTAATTTTAGTTTAATTTCATTATGTGTTTTTGTCATTTTTTTTTTTTAGTTGCTTGTATTTAGCTTTATTTTTATTTTTATTTTATTTATTTTATTTTTAATAAGTAATTTCAGTTCATTTAGTTAGTCATTTTAGTAATTTCAGGACTTTAACTTAGTTACTTTATTTCAGTTAGTTGCAAAGAGAAATTTTAAAATCTTTGGTTTTTAAGTTTTTCATCTAATATTTATATTTACATTTGTTTTTTTTCTCCGTTTTATTTCCATTAAGGAACGCAATTTGTAATCGTTTTAATTACAATTTAATTGCCCGTCGGAGAAAAAATCCTATAAAAACCGATGAGACATTCTATGGTTAATGTGGATGAGAGTGCTTTAAATCACAGGACAGATACTCATCCGCCAACCATCCATGGAAAACCCTTTAAAGGGCAATGAGATGTGAAAATTATAGCTTGTGAGGAATATTGTATGAGGATGACGCGATGACTCTAAATCAGCGCTCATAAAGAATTTCAGTCACGTAATCTCCTCTAATTTCTGTGTATCTCTGCTCCGAGAAGGTTCCAGTTAGTAAGAGGTGAAATGTGGCGGAAATACACATTAGCAAACACATTAGCGAGTCGACACCTGTGTATTTATGGATCACGGGTTTTCACCTTGGTGCAGCATTCCCTCAAGAGAACAAAAAACAAGAGATAAAAGTAAACAACAGCCCCGTCACAAGGTCTATGGGAGCCTAAACTAGCTTCGGTCAGTTCCTGCTGTGAACTCTCTCCACACTGTTTCCCCTCTGTTAGAGCGCTACAGTGCTGAGAGGTGTTTCCTCTAGTGCCGTGCCGACATCAAAAAAGCTCTTGAAAGCTCAGATTTGGGAACACTGAGCATTATATAAGCCAGAAGAAAACAATGCAGCCCTGGGGAACCGCTGGTCACCCTTGATCGAAAGGTCGGCATGCGTTTTTATCGGGCCATGCACTGCGTTTTATAAACTTTTTTAGTGTAAACAACTGTATTACGGTCCTATTGTCCTGGAACGGTGATGCAATAAATCACGTAGCATTCGAGGAGGTTTTGTTTGATAGTCGTGTTATATAAAACACTTCGAAAAATAATTCAAAACCCAACTTTCTTGTATTGTTGGATGAACAACGGTAATTTCCTTGTGCAAACAGGCAAAGTCTGAATCTCCCAGCAGGAGAACACTCTCACTTATCGTTACACAGGGTGCGGGATTGAACACAACAATACAGCCCTTCAGCTCTCAGCATGAACACTGCCACCAGGCTCAGACGCTCAGGTCAGAGGTCACACTGAACCAATCATTCTTTACAAGTCTCTCCTCTCACAGACCTGCTGTATAGTTTGCACTCCGCTGTAACCGACAGTATCTATGTGAAGTATAGCTCTGCTCACACAGGATAAAGCTGAATTTATGTTCAGGGAGCCCCATGAGCCAAGTTTTATTGCTATGACTCACCGGTTCTTTTAAAAAAAGATGTTTTTTTAATTCGATTTAGCTTAAGCATTTAAATGTTAGCTATTAACATTTGTATTTTAAGGGGATTTCTGTTCTTGTTTTTCTGCTTGGCCTATGCTTGTTTTTGCTGGGATGTGATTCAAATTTAATTCAGATAATTTCTGAAGATGATTCATCCTTCCTGAACAGCAACTCACTTGGCGTCTCATGACAATGTTTGGTAATGTGCAGTGACTGCATCGACCGCTCAGTTTTATAAATGCTTGAACGCACATATCCATTTAGCTTTTTTGAGTTTGTGAAATACCAAAGTGACATGTAATCAATTGCTTTTCCAAGCAAGTTTAGAGAATGAGCAGTGTGTATAGTCAGTTTTTAGATGATAATGTCTTCTCCTAAAAATGTGACATGAGTGAACATAAATACATCCATAATTTTGAAGACAGTTGGCCTTGTATAGTTCGTCAACCAGTGGCTGTGATATTGCACAAATGCAAACACACTAAACCTGTGGTTTCCTGAGCTGATTGCTGCCCAGACACTGAATCATTGTGCTACAGATGGGAATCATTTACTGGGGAGTGAACTACAGATTGATCTGAAATTCCAAAATCCAAATAAAGTTCAGGAATGCTATAAATGAGAGGAAAACGGAAGTTAACACTTAAAGGTAAAGTGTGCAATCTGCAAATTTTAAAATACTTTCTCCTATCCCAGGTTAACATGCAATAAATATGTAAGAAAGCTATTTGAAGTTTTCCCCAAAAAGTATAAATACTGAGCTCTATGTTTGAGCATCATAATTAGCTAGACACAAGTTATAGGATGGCACTTTCTGTTAGTGTGATTTTTTTTGTGGCTAAAGATTTCACTATGTGAAATTAAATGCAAATAAAATCTAGAATGAGTAGAATGTACACTGCTGTTTAAAAGTTTTTGGCCAATATGTTTTTGTTTTTTCTTAAGAAAATTATACTTTTATTCTGCAAGGATGCATTAAATTGATCAAATGTGGCACATTTGTGATGCTACAAAACATTTATATTTAAAAAAAAAATCCTGAAAAAGAGTATTGTGGTTTGCATGAAGCATAGGTGTTTTTAACATTGATAATAAGAAATGTTTGTTAAGCATCAAATCAGCATTTTAGAATGATTTCTGAAGGATCATGTGAAATAAAAACTGGAGTAATGATGCTGAAAATTCAGTTTTGCATCACAGAAATAATTTACATTTAACACTAGAACTACCAAGGGAGTCATTTTGACCGTTTTTAAATTTTGAAATGTAATAACTTTGCTGAAATAAAACCCATATAACTATAATACCCTCACTTTTCCTAAATGTCTGTATATTTTATTATAACATTGTTATTTTATTAAAATTACAGAACACAAACTAGTTCACAAAAGTTTCTACCTTGAATGGCCAAAGTGGTCAAATTGACCGTTCGCATTACAGACGGCGTATAATTTCTGCTTTTGCGATTTTTTTTTCCCGCGGTTGAAGATGCACTTCACTGTTGCCTAGCAACTTTTGTTCTAGTTGTTTTTATATTCTATTGCTAAGCTAAAATTTCTGTTTGTAAAAAAGCCGGGTGGACACCTCCAATACAACAACTGCTGTCATTCAATTTGCCACAGTTCCAGGTATGTTAGGCTGGAAGACTATAGCCTGGCTGTTATCAATAATAGTCTACTTCAATGTTATGA